CCATTCCTGCTCTTTGAATGCTCATAACTGCAGCTCCAACTAGTTCTCCTGCGCCCTATTAACAGCATTATATATATTAAAGCTTCAAACAAATGATGATCCGTTTACTTATTATCAATTTCAACTTAGCTTACTTGACTTGTTATGGCTATTAACAGCACGGCGAACAAAGTCAGGAAGAAGCATGCAACAGTCCTCTTGAATCCAGCCATGAAGTACAAGATCAGCATGAAAAAAGTAGGGTAGAAAATATGTGCCACCATGTCACACAGAGTGCTGCTTGCATAGTACACACTCAATCTATACATGTCTGCTTTCCTTTCTTTCACCAAGTAGACCTTTTCAAATGGAAAGACATAGACTGCTCCAAAAATACATGAAGATGTCCAGAATATACAGATATAGAACATTAAACCAACCTGCAGCAAAGATAGTGATTCATTCTAATGTCAATGTTAAAGAGATGGTGGATAGACTAGCTGAAAACTACCTGATCTCTGACTTGAGCCTCTGTACTGGTTGAAGATTTCCACCAAAGTAGCCCCAATAAAAGTGCAATGCCAAGTGCTTGAACTAGTCTTAATTTATCAAAATAGTCCTTGCTTCTTGCGCTGAATGTTCTCTTGTAAAGAATAAAGAACTGGTCAAACCAACTCAATGTCCAGTCTTTTTTTACCTGAATGGCTAGCTGAAGATGTTCTGGTGTGTTTGCTGCTCCATGATTCTCTTCTTTTTCTTTTGGTTCCAATGTGTGTTTGTACTTGAGTTGTAGGCACTAGCATAATAAAAGAACAATTATTAAGTGGGAATGAGTAGAACACGCGTATAAGTTTTATAATGCATAATCTTACTTTAATAACAGCTTTTGAAGTGTCAGCAGATTCTTGATCTTTCAAAATTTCTGGCGGAACGCTTATGTTATTCACTTGTCCAGTTGCCAAGTCAAGCAGGAACTCTGCAGGATTCATTGGTATTTCCGGGGTGAACCTCAAGGATGAAAAGTAATGCATTGAGTCCCTAGCCATTCCATAGTAAACGGGATAGCCTTCTGATATCAGAAGAAGTTTGTCAAACATGTGAAAGATTCTGCTGGATGGCTGGTGAATTGTTGTGATTATGGTCCTTCCACCCTGTAGTTCAAGCATATATTCCAAATAGTGGGGTTCTTGACACGGATCATAATATCAAAATGATAGTTAAATATAGTTACCGATACCTTAGCAAGTCCCTGAAGAGTGAGAAGGAGTCTGTTTGCTGAGGTGGAATCAAGGCCTGAAGTTGGTTCATCAAGTAGAATCAGTGAAGGATCAACAAGGATTTCATAGCCTATGCTGGTTCTCTTCCTTTCTCCTCCAGATATGCCTTTGAGATATCCTCCACCTATTTTTGTGTGGCGACATCTATGGTTATACAAAAGATTAAACAGTTTTATTTATTTCTTTCTTTTGGGGGGGAACTTGTAGTTAATTTGAGCATTC